GGCGACGTCTGTTCCTCGGCTGGGGAGGTTTTAGACCTTTGCGCTCTTGGTAGCGCCAACGGGGGTGCCTTTCGGCGACGTCTGTTCCTCGGCTGGGGAGGTTTTAGACTTCTGCGCTCTTGGTAGCGCCAATGGGGGTGCCTTTCAGCGATGTTTGTTTCAACTCCTTCCATTTATTTATTTATTAAATTTATATGAAGTGACACTGGGTGGCTTACATAATCATAAAAAGATAATACAAAGTTATTGAAATTAAGAGATACTAAAAAGAGACTCAAATCCAAGAGGAGGAGCAACATAGGGGCAGGGATCTTCTCTTTACCCCATCGGCCACCCCTAACATAGAGCACAGCCATTGGGGCTCCAGGCCAGCTAGCAAAACCAGGAAGGCTAAAAGGATGGAGGCGGATCTCACCTCCAGCAGGAAAATCAAAGGTGTGTGGGGGGAGTAGACTATGTTTACTATCATCATGCCTTGCCTTTGTCATGAAAAAAAGTAAGTGCTTTTCTAAGTGCTCAATTTGTTAAAGCATCCAAAGCAGAGAGAAAGCATAACATTTATAGAAATACTCTGTTATTATAATTTAGGCCAGATAATAGATTCAAATAATTATGCAGTGCAAAACTTAATACTAGATGCTGACTGCACAGATGATAGCTTTCTATTATACATCTGTTACACACATGCATACATTACACAAGCATACATAAAAAATGTCCCTGTACATAGTTTATTACAGGGAGAAAAAGTAAAACTAATTTTCATGTCATTTCAAAATGAGATGTTTTTAAATGAGTGTACAAAAGTATATGCATACAAACAGCGATGAAACTAAACTTACATCTCCAGTTCTTTCAAAATGGGTCATTCTTCTTTTAAAATTGATAAGATCTCCATTGAATGACCATGAAAAAACAACCTCAATGGATGGATCTTTGGACACTTGACAAGGCAGAACTACACTTTCTCCAATGATAACATCAATATCACAAGGTGGGTTAATGATGACAGTCTTTTCTGTGGGACAGGAAAAAGTCCTTGAGCATACAAGAAGTTGACAAATGCCAGGCATTTCAAGAATAACTATAAAGATTTCAAAGTTCTTTTTTCAAAGACACCCGTTTAAACAACTGCAAAAGTCATTTCAACCACTTCAACCAAATCATTATCCTCAACCACTTCATTAGCAACCTTCTAGTTTACCTGGGAGACCAAAGAATGAACCACATATTTGATACCTGCACCTCTTTACTATTGTTCCAATGATTGCTTGATAAATTAGAGATAACAACTCCCTTGTTATAAGCAGTTGAAGTGAGTATGTTGATGAAAGCATTATGCAGTCATGGTAATTCATATGCATGTAAATAAATTGCAGTAGGAATCCTGGATACAGTGATAAATACTATACCAAATATGTAGATTGGTAGGAAAACAAAAAAATGATGTTGTGACATAACAATATAATGGCCATTAATCTGGACAATAATATAAATAGAGAACTCCAGTGTTTCCAACTTGCAATATCTGTTGGAAAATGTATTTATGAATTGTGTATTTATTCACAATTCAACCAGTACTTATTTAGGGATGCTAGTTAAAAGAAACTTGATTATTCCCCACAACCACCACCACCACCCTTCAGATAGAGGGGGGGGGGAAATCTGATTTTGAAAATGAATTGATACTTTGAATCAGGCATAAAATTCTCCTGAGATATTCACAAGATAATGGATAAGTATTCTTTTGCCCCCCTTGACTGGCCCTAGATGCAACACTTGGAAAATAGACATTTGTCTATCTCTTCTTGCTTGTGTGACCCAAAGTTCAATTGAAGAAACTATTTAGGTTGAAATCAGTTGTATTAAGGCAAGTAACATGAACTTTTAAAAATACTTATATCTAGATTCTCTGTCTCTGTCTTTCTCCCTGTATCAGAGTTTCATCTCATGAAGATTAAGGGTTAATCTTTCAGATCACAATCTTTCTTTATCTCTTTTTACTTCTTTAAGTGCCCAGGGTGATTGACAGGTTAGGCTGCATGATCTGAATATGAATTTCCAGCCAAATGTATCTGCCACTTGTTTAAGCATAGTGTCTAAGAAGTTGGAGAAAAGTCTACAATTATGTATCTTTAATTGCAAAGAAAAGGAATCTGGGAAACAGAATCCAGAAAATGCCACACACTGTTATTTTATTTTGTTCTACTATGCTATGTTAAGCAATTCAACCATGCATTCCATGAAATATGCATTCTTGCTGTCTTAGAAGAATAAAACATACCTATCTCAAAGAAGACTAAAGTAAAGTCTCTATGGATATACCAGTCTAACCAGATCACATCAATTTCTATGAGTGATGCTGAAATGATCGCTTCATTTGACTCAAGCTATTGTTTCTTAAGAATCTTTCTTTAAAACTTCCTTTTTCTCATTAACTATCAGCTTTGCTTGCTCTCTGTAGGAATGTATCATGGAGCAGAACCTGTTTCCAAAAGGAAGAATAGACACTCAGTGACTGTGAGGTATTATATAGATTTCTATCACCAAGGATAAGCAGCCCAATGAGCAGCAATAAACATTAGATTTATTAGATTCTGACATTTCAGTTGAATACAGTACAAAACCAATGAGGCCTGTAATTGAACTGCCCAAACTTCTCCAGAAAGGAACCAAAACAAATGTTCTCTGAAAATGTTGTAATTGTGATACCATGTTATTATTTTGATTTTTAATAAAAACTTCAATTGTCAAATTAAGGCTTTTATTTCATTTAAAAAAACATAGTTGAAACACCATACATAGTTAGTATCCATCTCTACTGCATGCATAATGCTATTTATATGATTTACAGAAGAACACACTTCTGTTCATTTAGTTATATGGAAGTAGATTTGAGTATGCTGGAAGAAATATAAGCATAATTTTAATGCAATGGGAATGGTTTACCTAAAAAGTATCTGTAAGAATACAGGAAAAATGGGTATAAGAATGAATAGGTACTTAAGGAATGTGAATTGAATTCAGGCATGAGTGAGCAGTATGAAGATACCATAGTATGTTTCAGAAGTTTGGTCACGTAAATAGAATAAGTATCAAACCATGAGACAAATATAAGGAAGAATAAATTGATTGAATGGAAGGGGAAGACCGAGGAAGTTATGGTTGCATGGAGTTGATGAAAGTTTTGGAGACCTGAAAGAAACAAGTGAAGAGTTTTTAAAAATCAAATTGCTACACAAAGGAGTGTATGGCCATGGGACAAACAAGAATTCTTTTTAAGGTTAAAAAGTGTGTGGTGCGTGTGTAAACTATATTTAGCAATACAGTATAGCTTTTCTTTTCTTTTTCTTGTGTCGTGCCTGCTATTCTTTATATGATATTGCTTACTTCAAAAAGGATTAGAATAATGATAATGTATTGTATGTATATATGTGCCCTAACACTTCATGTTATTAGTTGTGACTAATTTTTATTAGTTATTATAAGTTATTAGTCATTGTTTCTATTCAATATAGAATTTCAAATATGCAATAAAGGACAGACTGGTGAGCAGCAGCTTCATTTCAACCACAACTAGCTTTTACATATGTCCATCTTAAATTTCTTTAAACTGAAAATATGCTTCTACTTCCATATGGCAACTTTATATTTTCTTTAGTTTTGCTATTTTAACTGGGATTCATTTTTATTCTGATCCAAAATATGGATAAAAAGGGAGATTGGAAAAATACTAAGTGATCTACATTACCAAAGTTTTATAGAAGTACCCCAGAAGAAAAGTTCAAATATGGTAGCAGAAAGAAGAACCCAGTCAAGAAGTTCTCAAACCTGTTACTGGGGGATTGCAAATTTATGATATGACTAGTCTACAAAATAATGATGCAGAAAGGGGAATTTTGGGGAGCCTGAATATTGATGAATCTTCTTCTCTTAACAAGAGTAACTATCTGTGCTGGAAGAAAATGGAAAAAACAACAACAACCTGGAATATGAAATGTACATGAGCTATGAAAGTTGGATATAATTTATATATTTTTATTTATCAAATTTCTACACTGCCCATGTCACCTAAGTGACTTTAGCTGGTTCATAAAGAAAATTGCCAAATCAGTTGTCAGAAATGGTATAGGGTCTCCTGCTTGGGTGGTGGGGTTGGACTAGATGACCTACAAGGTCCCTTCCAACTTTAATTAACTGTTATCTGTTATCTGTTCTTCAGTAGTTGGGATCAAAAAGATTCCTATAACCGAACCAGTGGAAAATCTGTATTCCAAATACCACAGCTACTAACTTTTTTCTCACCCTTGCCTTTAATTTTTCAGTTTTTCATAGACATTTCTAAGAAGAATTCTGTGTTGAATATCTGATGGTGATTCCTGAAAATGTCTGAGGGCTCCTGGCAATATTTTGGGCTAGGACATTGGCTTTATTTCTGAAATATTTTTTTCCTTTGGTGATCTGTCCATTTTCACTCTATGGTGTCAGTTCTGTTGTTGTTTTGGTTCTACCTTTTACGACTGCCGTATATGGTAGAATTTAGTCAAGAAGCAAGTCATGCATGCTCAGGTAAATATCCTTTGGTGCTGTCCTGTGGTTCCAAATTGCCTCTGCCTTTCTAAATCAGATTTTATTATTTAGCTGATGGTATATGTCCTGTGTATGCCACCTATCTCTGATTGAGATTCATTTTGTCTGGATTTACTTTCCAGTCTGGACTGTACTTTCCAATAATGTTCTTTTTTCTGCTTCTGTAACATTTATCCTTTTTCCAATAATCAGGGGAACATTTGCAACTTCCTGGTTGTTTCCTCTGAAAAATACAAGGAGATTCTGATTGAAAAAAGTAGTGATTTTTATCCAACAAAAGGTGTAGGGAATGTTATCAGTTGGGTTGACTTTTTATTCTATTTCACATGCTGTGTGCTGTCCAGCCAGTGTATGGGAATTGGATAGCTAGGTAGCAATTGTGAGCTGTCCCTTTAAGGGAATGCATCATGATAAATTTAGTTAAGGTATCCTGGGAAATGTAGTCGATGTCACGTGACCACATCTGTGATCCTAATTGGTCATTAAATTGACCCTAGAGGGGTTGGGGGAGGTTTTCCTCACTCTTGATTGAACTTACGGACTCGTGGTAACTGTTCTACTTCTACCACTATGAGATGAGAGAAAAAGGATAGCAGATAATCATCTTTTTACCTACAAGACAGATATGCAAAGGATTGGTCATTAAAGAAGAACTTCATCACAAATGTGAGTTATGAGGATACTGAGGAACCAATAAATGTACTTTGTTATGGACATCTTGTTGAGTTTATCTATCTGCATCTGTACAGAAGACAAATCCACTGCTGTACAGAATACAGAACATGCTAGGAGCTATTGCTAACATCATAATTGGTGAATATTCAGGCACTGGAAAGATTGAACAGCATGTTATGACTCCACCTATTGGTTAATTGCATCATATGAAAGCCCAATTTAATAGCCAGGAGATTATGCAAACATGTAATTTCTTTGATGGATTGCTTACTATGAACAGGTTGCTTATCAGAAAATCCTAGAGTTTGCTGCTGGGATTGTGTTCCCTTTTTGCAAGCTTCTGGGTTCTTTTTAAGCAGATGCACGTAATGGTAATGAAACACATTTTCCTCCATGGGAAATACACAGATGTAACACAGTCAATTTCCAGTTGCGGTTTGCTTTCAGAACATACATTAGTATAGTCCCCATATCTCTGGAAGGGAGTGTTCATGCTGTGGAATTTTGTATAATACAGATAAAGTTCTGGTGTATTCTGATTCATTGCTTGGATAACTGTGTTGCTGAAGAAGACCGATTAATCCCTTTCTTTCACAACTACAATGGAAGTCTGTAAGTTTTGTTCTTTTTGGGACTTGTAAGTGTCAGATTACATTTCCCTGCTGTCTGCATAACACTCTTATACATTTTCAGGAGGCAGCTGCTCAACCAAATAATGATGCTAAGGTCTGTTTCATTATTGGGGGAATTTATTA